CGTCCCAGTCCCGGTCTCAATCACGGTCTGGTCCTGGTCTGGTCCCGGTCTCAGTCCTGGTCCCAGTCCCGGTCTGGTCCCAATCTCAGTCCCGGTCTCAGTTCTGGTCTTAGTCCTGGTCTGGTCCTGGTCTAAGTCCTGGTCTCAGTCCCGGTCTGGTTCTGGTCTGGTCCCGGACCTGGTTTAGTCCTGGTTCAGTCCGTGTGCGGCGCAAAATCCAGCCTCACAGTTTAAGTCACGGAAACAGGAAACGCCCATTATCCGTTTTATCCATGATTCATTTAAACACAAAATCGAAAACTGAAAAGAAAAAAAACAACAAAAAAACAAATCGTTATCCAATTTTTCATTTTGATTTTGGAGACAAATAATGAAGAAAACAGTTTTTTTTTTTTTTTCTTACTTTTATATTTTATATTGAAAAAAGAATGAACAAATGATACACAGATTCTTTAAAAACACAGTAGAGCACTTCCTGTTTTACCACATGACATCACAAGGTGGAACAGCGCGTTTTCTGTTTGAGAGAAGAACACTGCCTACATATGCAAAGTTAATGTATTAAACATGCGTGAACGAACCAAAACACAACTCCAGGTCTGTTCTCGACGACATTACAACATAGACCAGAAAATACTGCAACATGGACCCTTTAAAAGTTACACACTGTGGCTTTAACTTACTGATTTTAAGTTTTCACAGCGCAAAACAACAAAACACTTAATCACACCAAACATTTTCATTTATAACTCGCTTTCATCCCCCTCTTCCTCGTATTCACCTTCCAACCAGGAAATGTTTTCAGGAACCCCACTGACGCGTAAACAAAAACAAGCCGATTAATATTTACCGCACACTCTTATGTATTTAGAACAAGAGTTGCGAGCGGTTGCGTCAGTCTCCAGCTTATTCCAAGTGCGGCTTCTTTTGGAGGACACTTGGGAGGAGGTGACAGCTGATTTCTGTGGGTTCTATTTTTTCTCCGTTCGGGGGAAAGGAAAAAAAAAAAACTTGTTGACCGCTCGCAATTTCTGTCAGACACTGCAATTTGATCTTTTGTTTGTTTTCGGACCAGACAATTACGAAGCGGAGCAAGAGGCACGCACATTGTGACTGCCGAATCAATGGTCTGGGGGTAGTTTATTATATGCTGTGAACGGCAGGCAAGAAATCCAATGGAAAAAAGGGTTTGAGAAAGCTGGTCGGGAGCGCGAATCCTGCTCATCGCGCTCTTCAGGAAAATCGATAACATTGCTTTGACAAGTTCTATAGTCCATCAGCAAATTGGCCGCCGTCTTTAAAGCTGCGAAGTTAAATTGTAATGTCTTTTAGTAATGGGCTGAGTTTTAATTGGGATCGATGGGTTTGGATTGTGAAAGGCCTTCGGGGAGCGTTCACACTTGCACGTAGAATGCATCAAAGTGCGGTTACTTTAAACTAAATGTCACTCATGCTGGAGTAAAAGTAGTCTGAAAATTTAAGTACAGACAAGTTACTTAAAGAGGGTGGATTATGCAAAAAGTTGTTTCCTCAATAAAAACATGAGAGGTTTTAGATGTCATCCATGCACGTTTTAGCGATCTCTCCCAAGCCACATAACATGTTTTATTTTTTTGAAAATGCTGTATTCGAAAAAAAAATTATAAGGTAACTTAGTGTACTAAATATGTTTTGTGGGTCCGGTCAAACAGTAACGGAGGGAAACTGGCAGATTTTTTACATTCAAATAGTCTCTTATTCAGAAACTAGAGGGACTATTGAAATAAGTAAAGTATCAGAATGTAGGAAAGAGTTACACTCCAACAGGGTAAAGTTAAACCTGTGATATTCTTTCAAGTTGTTGACAAAAAAACTTAAAAACTCATGTCGGTAACGGAGGGAATGAAATATGCAGCACTTTTTGGGCAATAAATCCAAACAGTGATAACTCTTGGTTCTCACTTACATATCCTTAACAAACTGGTTTGAATATTTGCTTCATATAGTTTTCTACCATATGGTACAAGATTAGGTTGAAAAACCTCTTACTTTTTGACTCATGAGATTTTTTATTAAGAAAGTAGAAGGTGCAGGATTTTACATAATTTGTCAGCTTTTTTCTTCCAAATACTTTAATATTACTTCAAAATGAATCTATATATCTATAATTTCTATAAAATATGTCAGTCCTTCCAAGCAAATTTTTATCATTTTAAATACTTAAAAAAAAATAAAAAATCATGTACCTTCATCAACAGTTCAAAGATGGAATAACACAAGATATGATGAAATACATCCATTTATTTACATGATTTGCAGGTCTTAGAAATTTGGGAAATAATTTTTGTTCCGTGTTTCATACATGGTCTGTTTAAAACGTATGTAACTTTAGAACCAAAAATAGTACAGAAAAAAGGTAAACAGTTTCATAAACTAGAGTACATATGTATCTGTTCAATACATTTTTATATCAGATGCATTAACTTGAAATTTTGGCCTTGCTGTTTACTTCTGCTTGACTGGGCCCATGTGATAGAGGTTAATACACCATGGAACCCCCCCATACCCCCTCTTTAAGTAAATATACTAAGAAAATTTCAAACTCAGTTCCAATGCTAAGAAAAAGGCTTGATACTCGATACTGATTTTGTTACCACAATGATTTTAAAGGACCACTAAACACCATAATCACTTTTGTCTACTGATTAGCTGTCTAAGGCTAGGTTTACACTGAAACGAATCACCGTATTGCTGTATCGGAAATGATTTGCGTCCAGACACGTTGTTTCTGTATCCGCAAGTCTTCCCTGTCCACACAACTTTGAGCATATTTGTTTACGTTTTACAGAAACAAAATTTAAAACAGCATGGCTAATTTGCATAAACTAAGCGCTCAAAAAACAGCTCGCTATTGTGCGCTGATGCGGTTCAGCTTCTGTCGGACTAAAGGACACGACTCAGTGGAATATGAGTGTTCTTTCTGTGACAGAGGCGTGTTCTGCTGATGGTGAGTCTGTTCTGTGCTTCTGTCGCACTGGAGATGGTTCATGTTCATCTTTTCAGAGATCATACGTCTGCAGGTCATACGCATAGACTGTATACATGAATGCACTTATATCCTAGGCCTCTTAGCGTTTTGGCGGTGAATTACATTGCGGCGCATCAACCTAAGTCAGTGTATCAGCGTTTTCAGGCGTCCACACAGTGCCTGATCAGATCCATACTCAGATGATTTTGTGGGATACCATACCAGATCGTATCGTCTCTGGAGCCGTTTTCTATTGGATTAGTGTGGACGAACACTGCATCCGTAACGAAAATGACTCGAATATGTGCTAGTGTGGAAGGGGCCTAAATGGGTCTAAAGCACAAGTGTATACCTAGACCTGGCCTTATTTTGGCATTTTAGTGCATATTTGTTAAAAATATGACTTTTGGGTCAAAAGTCGTGTCTGTAGCGGCCTCTTTAGGATCAACTAAGGCCAGTATATTTGAATTTTCGGGTTGGACTAACGCCCGCCAATGAGTCAGATGCAGGTTATTATGTGACGAGCACAGCCACTGGCATCTACGGGCGGTACGTCAGGAGCCCCTCCCAGCCCCGCCCCTACCTGGCATCGCTGGTTACTGCAATGTTCCGCCGTGTCTGGAGAAAAGGGAAATGGCGTGATCCGAGAACAAATGTCCGCTCTGTTTCAAAGTTCGGAGCGCACCAGTCCGTGCTGTGTTGTGGCTGTCGGTCGACTGTCAATCATAGCTCCAGAGCCCGCCCCACATCCGCTCCCCCCATCCCGACGCCCACTCTGGAGGATTGTAAAGCTTCGGGAGGGTGTTTAATGGCTCTTTAACAAAGCCCATTTTTTAGACCAGTGGTTCCTAAAGCAGTGGTGAAGGCAGTGATCTATGAGATTTGGAAAATGTATTTTAGAAATTTTGACAGTGTATTTGATGCATTAAAAACTGAAAACAGTATATTTTGGTGAAAAGTGGGTCAGACTGCAAAATGGTAAATGGAGGAGGAACTGCTCTCCTATTCACACACACGTATATACACCAGTGTATGCAGACACTGGGAGCAAGGTAGGAAGGGCAAAGTGTCTTGCCCAAGGACACAACAAAAACATGAATCTGTGGGAGCCAACCAGTGGGTCAGTGGCTCTGACCACTCAAACAATGATGTTTATGTCTAGAGCTGGATTCAAACTAGCTTGATTGATCAGCCGGTTTTACTTTGTTTCACTTCGTACAAACCGTCTGACCTCGCAGCCTTAGAATTTGTTCGCTCGACAGTAGGCGGATACTTTTTATCATTTAACCAGTCGCTGCTATTTGGTCGTGATGTATGTAATGCGCCGCTAACGGGGCTAAAAGGTATATTAAGCTTTTCCCAAATCCTATTGGAAGAAGGACAATAACGACTTTGGACTTGATGAAATTCACCAAACATTCTCTTTATTCCAGCTTCAAATCCTCGATCTTGGAAATCGTTGACAACACTGAATATATCACTCTTCGCTGACTGGCTGGGGCCCAAACTTGCACTTCCAGGGTTTTTGCGAACCGTCTATTGTATTTTGATTCCTGACCTAGTTGCTGGAGAGAAATGAAATTGAACGGAGGCACTAGGTGACTGCAGCCTGGCTAGATTCGAACTGCCAACCTTTGGATCATTGACTTTACTCTACCAACTGACTGAGCTATTGTCGCTACCACTTCCCAAATACACAATTACACCATATTTTAAATGTTTTGCAACTTGAAATCATGACAAATTACAATTTCATTTTGCAATTAGAGGTTTGGGTTTGGAAGCCCCTCTTTTACAAAATAGATTATCTTCAACACAAAATAATAATACTTTCTCTCTTACAATGTGGCCCATTTCTGATAAAGCACAAGTATTTCCAATTCCTTGATTCTAACAACCGTTCTGCGTACTACCCATTCATCTCCTTCATGATTACATACCTTATACACAATCAAACTAAATCACTGTGTTTCTTCTTTTTCTTCTTCTTCAGCCGTTGGACTTTGAAACTAAGAGCAGTTTCTCTCTACGGATCGAGGCCACCAACCGCCACATCGACTCCTCCTTCCTGAGCCTGGGCCCGTTCAGTGACACCACGTCGGTGAAGGTGACCGTGGAGGACGTGAACGAGCCCCCGGTCTTCTCCGCCCCCCTCAGCCGCATGGAGGTGTCAGAAGACGCACGGGTCGGAACCTCCATCGGGAGAGTTTCTGCGCACGATCCGGACAACATCAACAGCGCCATCAGGTAGGGGGACATGGATATGCAAAATTTACTCACGTGAGGTTTTATGTTGTTAGCTCATCAAAAATTAGAGCTGTGTTTTGTTTCATTTACACATGTCTGAGTTGTCCTCCATTGTTAGGCTGTGTGTGTCTCCAAAGTTCAAAATACTTTGTTCCACCTTGTAATGTCACAACAAACTGTTACGTTTGACCCTATGTTTATTAAAGATTGGCAATTCCGCATCTTAAATTATTCAAATGATTCTAGTGAAGGTGTATGGAGTTTAAAAGTACAGTAGAGCACTTCCTGTATTGCCATGACATCACAAGTCCCAAGTCAAATACAAGCAAGTCCACATCGAGTCTCGAGTCACTGGCCCATTCAAGTCATTTGAAGTCTTTAAACCAAAGTACCAAATAAAGCTTTGGTTTTTGCAATTTATATGCCTTTTAAGATAAATTGTACTTAAAAAAGTCATAGTATATTTACAGTATATTTGAGTAGTTATAGAGTATATAAGAGTTGTAGAAATTAATTTAGTTATTTTTTTCCTTTTTAAATGTCTTGACAAGATCATAGTGTGAATCATTACGGTCAGAATGGTCAAGTCACAGGCCTCAAGTCTGAGTCAAGTCCAAAGTCATTGACCTTCAAATCCAAGACGAGTCCCAAGTCTTTTAGTCCATTTTATCAAGTCAAGTCTCAAGTCCTAATAGTGACTCAAGTCTGACTCGAGTCCAAGTCCCGCCTTGCAAGTCCCCACCTCTGGCTCACGTTGCGTACGCATTTACGCCACATACATACAGTACACAGAAACCTGGCATGCATACCAAATTGAATTCCACACACTTTTGCATCACAGATTTCCTCTAAACGCTGAATAAAAAGGGAAGATGCAACGCCACTTTTGCGTCTTCTGTTCAGACCGTCATCATATAAACGTAGCCTAATCTGAGCTTTACTTCAACACAATCTGACCAGAAAGAGCTGAGTTAGTTGGAACTACAAGAGGTGAGCTGATCTGTGCTGTTCAACAAGTTTCTCACAATAAAATCACAGTTCATTAGCTAAAAGTTTTTCAGTTACTCACTCTCACCTTTTTGTTGAAAGTCAAAGACCTAAACAGAACCGTGAACGCTCATATCGATCACAGACTCCTCAAAATGTGCTGTTTAAATCCATTTTGTATTTCTTCTTAAAACCTTTTTTGGCAGTGTTTGCGCGCATTGTGTCACCGTGATCATTTCCAAACATTCCGCCTATAGAAATGCACGTTGAACACCCCCAGCGTAATGTCACTGCAAATTATCAATAATAGAATCGAAGCAGCACCTTACCACCACCTTTGCCCCTATCGCCCTGTTGGCATTGCTCCATACATCACATTATACAAACACGCCAAGTCTTTCCGCTGATTTGGGTTCCGCGTATCCACTAGCAGATGGTGTGAAGGGCCAAGCGGTGCCACATTCGCAAAAATTAAATGCCATCTTGACCATGAGAAGGGCATTCCTCTTGGACGGGTCGAGGCTGGACACTGCAGCGTGGCATTTCGCGCTCAAACAAGCCCTCTGTATTATTAATTGAATGAAAATTGTACGGTATTCACCCGCACGCTGTTCGGAGTGTTAGTAATCTTAATCAGAAAATCGAATTATGAAACCATTGTCATCGCAAATCATCTCTTTTTGCCCCCATTACTGCTTTTTTCAAGTTACTTAAAGAAGGAGTATTAAGCCAAGAATGTTTGAGCTTTCTACTATGTTATAAGGTTGTTCACTCATCAAAAAACATCTAGCGATCTTACGAGCGAGCCTACAAACCTACATCGCCAATGCTCCCACACGACAACAAAAATGAGGATACAAAACTACACCGCAACTTCACAAACCTTTCATTAGCAGGATGCACGTTGATTTGCTGTGTAAGCACTCTGAAGGGGGAGTAACTTAACATAAAGAGCAAAGGGATTGGAGAGCATTCAAAACAAAAGCGAAACTTACAAAACATGTTGATACGTTATGTTATTAGGTTCTTTTTCCAGACCAAGACTTTGTTTTCATACATGACAGAGAAGGAAAAGATGAAATTGAACCGGAGCATAAAGGAAATACCCTGCATGTCCTGCAATAAAACATACATCGAGGACGCAAGGTGGGCATTCAGTACACGGAAAAAGGAACACAGGACAAAATGCGAGAAGGACACAGCGAAGGTGAAACACGAGCAAAACAACACAAAGCAGAGCAAGAACAACTTAAATCGGCCGTTTCTGAGCATTTTAAAAGAGAGAACCACATAATGGACTGGGACGGCGCAAACATCACTGGGACAGAGGAAAACAAACATCGTCGCTGAATTAAAGAGGCAGTCAAAATACGGAAACATGCCCACAGGACTATAAACCGGGATGAGTTTGTTTTTTTTTATTCTCACACACCTGGGATACTGTCCTGAGGAAGTCGGACTGCAGGTGGCGCTGTCGTCCTGCCTCCACCGGTAGGAAGACGGCGCCTAAACCTGTTTAAATCAGCTGACCGGACACATCACAGGAACATCACGTGACCATTAGTGAGCAATCAAAACTGTCACTTATGAAAGCAAACTCTTGGTCTGAAAAAAGAACCTAAAAACATTATCAGAAGACCAAATGAACCTCTCTGGACTATGTTAATACGTTGTTTTCAGTGAATATAGCATTTTCAAAACAAGAAAAGGTACCTCTAATTATGTAATGTAGCTAAGTTGGTAGAGTTTTCATCAATCAATTAATCAAACTTTATTTATAGAGCACTTTCATACAAAAATGCAACACAAAACGCTTTACAATGATTGAAACTAACTGTCTGGAATCTGGGACATTAACCACCAACTAACTATCGTCCACAGTTGGCGGTTCGAATCCCGCTCTCACGTACACAAATTGCTTGAGTGGTCAGATCCAGACTGGCGCAGTGATTCCAGCGCCCACAGAATGAGTCCTGTCGTTGTGTCTCTGGGTAAAACACTTAACTCACATGCGTACACTGGTGTATGAATGTGCGTGTGAATGGGTTCCTTGATGCAAAAGCGCTTTGAATGCCTTAAAGGTGGAAAAGCTCTTATAAAAAAAAGTTTGAAGATGTGATGTGTCGAGTCTGGACACTGTAGCGTGGCATTTCGCACTCAAGCAAGCACTCTGTATCATTAATTGAATGAAAATTGTACGGTATTCACCCACACGCTGTTCGGATTGTTAGTAATCTTAATCAGAAAATCAAATTATGGAACCATTGTCGTTGCAAATTGGCTCTTTTTGCCCCCGCGACTGTTATCGGCGTCTATGTATTTCACTACATCTGTTGAAATGGAAACGATTGTGGAACTAATGCACTCACAAGAGTCAAATTACATTGCAATAATACCCTTTGGATGTAGGCTAATTGAAGTTGTAATTTTTTTTTGCGTGGAATACTGGCTCGTGTGTGTTGAAAAAGGTTGGGTTGTGCGTTCGGGGAGAAGAGGGATTTCAGAAGGATCAACGTTTAATGGATTTTTGGTTCGTGTAAAATATCTGCGAGGGTTATGAATGATAGTGAAGCCCCAAACTTGTCCGGTCAGAAGTTAAGTCCGTTGGGAGGTCTTATCTCCAAGTTCGGTGGACAATCTAGAAATCTAATTATGATAAAAAAGAAATGGAAAAGTTTAGAGCAAGTTGCAATAGAACAGAGAATGTAGGGGCAACACAGGAATAATATGTTATGGCTCCTCTCCACGTCGAGAGGACCCAGTTGAGGTGGCTCGGGCATCTGTTCTGGATGCCTCTTGAGCACCTCCCTCTGGGCATGTCTCACCAGGAGGAGACCCCGGGGAAGACCCAGCACATGCTGGAGGGACTATGTCTCTCAGCTGGCCTGGGAACACCTCAGGGTCCCGCCAGAGAAGCTGGAGGACGTGTCTGGGGTGAAGGAAGTCTAGGAGTCCCTGCTTAGACTGCTGTCCCCACGACCCGACCCTGGATAATTGGAAGAAAATGGATGGATAGATGGATGGAGAAATAATATGTAGGAGTTTAAAGTGACTACTGCATAAATCTACAACAAAGGATTAAAAAGAACATTTGATGGAACTATTACTTTATAGTATGGATCATGTTGGATATTACATTTTCAAACTTAATATTCAACGCACTCACTAAAGGTCTAGGAGTAATTGCAACTGAGGTTGGTAGCTAAAACTCAAGTTATAACCTTTCACCCAGCTGTTATACCTCTGAGCAAGACACTTTGCCTTTCTATTCCCCGTAATTGTGTGACTGGTGGTTAAATTCCACCTAATGAACCTTGTTGCAGTTATACACCGTTGCCGCCAGTAGTCATTTTGTTGACTAAAATAATTTTCGTCACACAACTAAATTTAAAATAATCAGACATTTTTGCAGAATAACTTTGCCTAAAATTGGGCAACATTAATTTCATTTTTCTCAGTTTCTCTTCACAAGCGTTCATCAGTGTATTATCCACAGCTCGAGAATCGCATCCGCTATAATCCACAGTTCTAGTGCTGGCATTTCTGTTGAAAAATAAAAACTAAACAGAAACAAATGAAAGGGATGAGTGGAGACTAGAACACCTGTCAGTCCCAGAGTCCCAAACCAGCCTATAAATATACAACATCCAAGTATTATTAAAAAAAGGGAGGAAAAAATTAAAGTAATAGATTTCAGCTTCTGTTATGCTGTGAATTCCTGTTCTGTTAGTGTATTTGATTAAAAATTATAAAAATGTTAATGACTGTGACTTGTGTTGCCAGGTATTCCATAGACAGAAACACAGACTTGGAGCGCTTCTTCAACGTGGATGCCCTCAGCGGAGTCATCAGCACTGCCAAACCTCTGGACCGGGAGGCCAACTCTGTCCACAACCTCACCATCTTTGCCATAGAGAGCCGTAAGTCTGAACTGCTAAGAAATAACACAATCATATCTTAACAATCGTAGCTGGTCAGTGTTAGATGCATTGTGTAACTTTTCTGGTGGAGGGTCTACCACCTGCTTGTCTTCATGGAAATGTTATTGCTTTATCTAGACTGATTAACTCTATAACTATAGGCTACATCAGTGGTCCCTCAACCTTTGTTGCGCCACGGACTGGTTTTATTTCCAACAATATTTCACGGACCGGGGCCAGGAGTTTGGGGCCGGTGCTCTTAGAGACAATATTTTCAGGCGTGAGGAGTTGTGGCATGGTGTAGTCCTGGTTAAATACTGTTTTAGATCTGGTTTAGTGCTGGTTTAGGGCACTTTCAAACCACTAGGTCAATTATTTGGTCCGCACCAGGCAATAAAACTGTGATTATGTAGCATAGACTCCAGTGTGGTCCGCTTCACACCGGCAAATGAACCAAAATTGGTCAGACTGACGTTTCATCAATGTTTATCTTCCGGTAGAAATAAACGCCCATTCTGGGGTCATTCTGATGTCCCCCAGTTACCCCCTCCAATTGCGAAAGGTACTGATGTTCCCCCGTTAAAACTGTGGGTGATCCTCATCTGAAGTTTTCATCATGAACTCATAAAACAGCAGCATGTAGATTATAACTTTGTGTATAACTCACCGCACATCAGCCCTGAGCAGATGCACTGAGTTCGGGTAATAGCGGTAAAAGTTTAGAATCATCCATATGGGACAAGGGATTTGCAATTTCACAGCCCGGTACCAAATGACCCACGGCCCAGGGGTTAGGGTTAGGGACCCCTGGGCTACATTATAGGTCACAGCTGTTGAGATGCAACCTTATTCACAGAGAGAATTATTTTATGTCATTGCTCTGGTTGAAATGTTCCACAGTATGATATTGAACTGCTTTAACTTACATTTACTAAATTATGGATGGTTTTCTAGCTCAAAAATACATAGAAAAACAGGCATTCTGACTGTGACCAAAACCTTTCCACAGATCTGACCTGTAAGTTAGTCTGGTTTGGTCTCCATGAAGATCGAAAGGTTTAATACCATACTGTGAAATTCCAGACAAAGCATTAACATCTCCATGGAGACAAGCAGGTGACGGACCCTCCACCGGAAAAACTGCACAGTGCACCTTGGAGTTATTTGATTACTTTTAGCTCAATGGGTTTTTATTTCAAATCTGGTATGACGTTGAAATCCTTTTACCGTTAAATGTTGTGATCTTCTTGGCTAAGCTTTATAGATAAGTGTGATTGAATGCCCTACTTGAGGTCTTGCTAGAACCGCTGACATTATCCAGAATAGAGCCAAGATGTTGCGGTGAAACGTGTTACATTGTGTTGGTAATTGCTAACCATTCGGCGTCTCGAAATGGTCTCCTGAACTTTTCCAAAGGTTGCTTGAACCATTAGCTGCTCAAAGTGATGGTGCCCCTGCTAAGAAAGATTCGGCAGTTTGCTATATAATGTAGGTCCAATTTTCTTTCAAGGAGCTGGTGGATTGAAGCACGGTTCACGCCAGTTTGCTTCAACTTGCGTCGATTTGCGTAAAGGTGCACTGTGGAACTTTCCTGATGGTGAGGTGGTGTAGCTTTGCGAAGAATGTTCCACAGTCATTACATTAAATTAAGGTGCATTGTCTAACTTTTCTGGTGGAGAGTCCGTCACCTGCTTGTTTCTATGGAGATGTCATTGCTCTGCCTGGAATGTTCCAGAGTGTGACATTAAACAGCTCTACCTTACTTATTCAATTACAGGTGGCGTTAAAGCTTAAAAATACCTAGAAACACAGGCGATCTGACTGTTAGTGGGGTTGACCTGTAACTTGCTTTGATTTACCCTCCATCAGAACAGTTACACAATGCTTGTTTTTAATGGGACAGTCCAGAATTTTGGAGCCAGAGTGTGAGACACTTCTTAAAAACTCCCATCCAGTCCTTGTATTTGCAGATGTCGCTAGGTGCTAGGCTAGTGCATGTCAATGGCCATAGTTAGCCTGCCACTAAAAACAGTCTTACCCACTCCACAAAACACCTGAAGTAAATCTGTTATTACACCAGACTGTTGATGTGAATGTCTGTGTTGATAGAATCATTTTAGAAGTAAAACCAACCTTGCATTTGAAGGATTTATGTCTGAGCAGCAGCAGCGAGTTGTACTTCCTGATAGAAAACTTGGCAGCGGCGGACTGATATCACCTAGCACCTCCCTTACCGGCAAAGTAAAATTCCACTGCTGCTGAGAAAATAGTCCCTCAATATGCGACGATTCATGCGATGCAAGGTTAGTTTTATTTAAAACAATATTCTGTCAACACAGACATTCACATCGACAGTCTGGTGTAATAATAGATTTGTTTCGGGTGTTTTGTGGAGTGGGTAAGTTTTTAGTGGCAGGATAACTATGGCTATTGACATGCACTATCCTAGCACCAGTGACCTCTGCAAATACAAGGACTGGATGGAATATTTAAATAGTGTCTCCACACGTCTCCAAAACTAACTAGGAAATGAGACCTTATGTCCAAAATTTCGGACTGTCCTTTAAGCCATGTTCTAATGCTGTCACCTCATTTAACATTCAGCAGCCCATGAGCTTTATGCTGAAGTTGTCAACTTTAGACTTTTATCTTTTGTGTATTAAGCATCTCTTTCGTGTAGTATTGTATATATTTTTTATATTTGTTTTATTGTTTCACTGTCGTGTTTCATGCCGTATCACTTTGGTGAAACTTGTTATATGCTATATAAATAAAATTACTTGACATGACGTGACTTAAAACATACCTGGAGTTCTGCTGTGGAGTTTGTTTCGTTCACACATGTTTGAGTAATTCTGGCTTATTAGTCTGTCTATATTTTCCAAAGCTCAAAATGCTCTGTTCCACCTTGTGATGTCATGTGGTAGTTTAAGTCAACAGCTACATTTTACCTTTAGTTCAATAGAGATCGGCAATTCCACAGCTGAAATCATCCAAATGATTCTAGTGAAGATGCATGGAGTATTAAAACACAGTGAAGTACTTCCTGTATTACCACATGACGTCACAAGGTGGAGGTTTGTGTTTTAAACGTGTGAATGAAACAAAACACATCTCCAGGTCTGCTTTTGACGAGGAAACAACATTATAACAGATCAGACAAAAGCGTAATATGGGCTCTTTAACGATGCTCAGTCCAGTTCCATCCAGTCAGTAGTTTGTAGCTGGGATTCAAATACTAGTTACAGTTACTAGTTGGTAAATGGTAAATGGTCACATTTTTCTATATTATACACTTTCAAATATCACACTAGCTCTAAAAGATACAACCCTTTCTTTCTCTTTCTTCTGTCTCTTCTTTTCTCCCTCTTCATATCTAAACACCACACGCTCATTTCTTTCTTTCAAACACTCTTTTTTTTTTATCATAAGGCTTTAAACACGCATTCTTATTGACATCTGACGCCGCGTAGACACACACACATACAGCTCCTCTGTTGGATCCGAGCGTGAGGTCTGACTGATATAGCACCCGAGCACCCGACGCACCCCATAATAACAGTCGTGGCGATTGTCAGCGGGTCCCTCACAGGCTGATGGGTGACACGGGGGACAGGGAGGCGCTGTTCTAAAAATGTCTACTGTGTTCTCGGACTAGTAAGAACACAACAAGCAAAAAGAGTTGGTTTTAATAGACTTGAATTTGGGATATGGTACTTGATTTTGTTTAAAAAGTCCTTTATTACACAAAATGGATTCTTGTGAGCTTTAAGTCGTGTTAGAATATTGTTTCCTCATCAAAATCATATTCAGATTTGAGTTTTGTTTCATTCACGCATGTATGAGTAACCCTTTATTATTAGTCTGTCTACGTCTCCAAAGCTCAAAACGCTTTATTCCACCTTTTACCTTTAGTTCAGTAGAGATTGGCAAGTTTAGGATTAAAATTATCCACGTGATTCTAGTGAAGGTGTGGGGAGTTTAAAAACACAGTATTACCACATGACATCGCATTGTGTCTTTTCCATTTAAGAGAAGAACTCAGCCTAAATATGCAGGATTTAAGTGTTAAACATGTGCGAATGAAACAAAACACAACTCCAGCTACACTACCGATCAAATGTTTTAGAACACCCAAATTTTTCCAGTTATTTATTGCAGTTCAAGTCGTGCAAGTCCAATGAAGAGCTTGAAATGGTACAAAGATAAGAACTGAACAGCCAGAGGTTAAAAAAAAAAGGATAAAAGATACAAAACACAAGTCCAAGCTCTGCGAAAACTATCTCAGGAAAAAAGAACAAGATGTTGAGCTTGTAAACATGGAGTGTCCAGCACAGAATCCAGACTTATACCTCATCGAACTGGTTTGGGATGAACTGGACAGAAGAGTGAGGCAACCTACAAGTGCCACACATTTATTTCTGCAACAGATTTGGGAAGAACTTTCTGTAGAATATTTTATTTCTATTGTAAAAAGAACAAGCCACGAGTGTGTTCAGCTGTTCTATCTGCTAATGGTGGACATTTTCATTTCATGAATCAAAAGTTTAGAATATGTTTTGGTCAACAATAAACAACAAACAGTAAAAAACTGGAAAAAAGTGTGGTGCTCTAAAACTTTTGACCAGTAGTGTATGTTTGTATTACTGTATTTCTCTATTTTACATTTTTGCTTGTACATATACATTTATATAATTCCATCTTATTTGACACCAGTCTCTTGTTATTTTTGCTACTTATGTTGGTTTGATTTTTTTTTTATTGTTCAGCCGTTTTGACGCTTCGACCAATCAAATTTAAAATATTTGTCATGACATTTGTCTGACTTTTTCCCAAGTTCTGTTAATCAGAGCACCTGATTTTTACATGTGTAGTTTTTAGACCAGTAAGTTTGTTTTTATGATGTATATATTTTTGATGAGGAAACATTATAACATAGATCAGATAATAGCATAATATGGGCCCTTTAACATAGCACCTTTAGCACCCTTTAGCATATT